TTTGGTTTAGGTTTATTGGTGTGTAGTAGTTTGACTCTATGCGTTAGCTCTGTGACAGGTTGCAAGCCCACACATGACCATGACGTGGATGGAAATGGGAAAGAAATTTATATTATTCCTTTATTATCATAAAATATTAATCCTTTTGATCTCATAGTGTTTACACAGTGGCCCATAGGGTAGTGGTTAACACATTGACCTAACACATGACCGCTCCCTGGTTTGAGACTTCGAAGAACTTAACATCTTAGCATAATTGTGTAAAATACGTATGTGGATCTACTGCTTTGTTGACCTCTGATTGAATAAGAGGGTAGCTAAAATAAGCTCTTTTTTAGAACAATAAGTTTTGTATGAATTTCATACAAGGTCATCCAGGCCTTTGTCTTTAAGACATGCTTGTATAGTTGACTTGTATAATCTGGATTAATGGATAAATAAAGCTCGGTATCATCTACATAACAATGACAATGTATGCAGGGACACATGTTCAATATAAAAAGTATCCGTCCCAGCAGAGCACACTCTGGAACTTTGCAATTTTCATGTCTGAGACTCCACATTTCCATACACGCGTTGGAATCAGACAGATACAACTCAAACCTCTGCAGTGCAGTTCCTTTAAAACCAACAGTGTGTTACAATGTCTCTGGTAAAATATTGTGGTTAACCATATTCAATGCTGCACACAGGTTACCTCTAGCTATGTTAAGCCTAAAATGTTGTATACAGTACAAATATAACCTATTACAAATTGCTTTTAGTCTAACAACATCAATTATGGGATAACATGATGTCATGCTCAATTATCTGCATGGCATATGATGTAAGTGCAACAGCAAATGTAGGCAAAGCCAGAATGTTGCGAAAGCAGAAGTAAATGAGGCCTTTCTCCTTTAAGCACCTCTGAGGCAGGCACTTACTCATAGATTATCCAGAGATCCTGCTAATCAGCCAAAGGAGGAGGGAGAGTATGTCTGCTCAGAAGACTTTTATTAGGTGAATAAATATGAACAACTCTTTATTAGACAATCCACAGCTGATGCACCTGGGTCCTGCTGTCAGCCAGTATATTCAGCAGCCTTTTGCTTGTCAGAGCAGAAGTGTCTTCTTACAGAAGCGCAGTGTACCTTACACTAGACTGCATAAGTCACCGCTGGAAATAGACTGGGACAGAGCTGCATGCTTAGCAAGAGGCTAAAGCCCTTGTGGGAGTTTAAGGCCATATTTCACATCAACTACATCTCCCTCATTTACTACATGCCCCCCTGGACACAGGCTGAAGTCTTAACCCTCTCAAGGCAGGCGTTGCCGATTTGCAACAGTTAAAAACTAACAACTTGATTACCCCACATACATATTTTATGAGTTTTTTTTACTCAGAAGTACCACTGCAGGACTTGGTTGTGCATTAGCAACAAAAAGTTTAATTTGAGCCTGAGAGGGTTAAACCATCATTTACATACCCAAGTCAATGGATCTGATCAATTTCCTATCTGTGGTGCCAAGTGCTGCTTCTTGGCTGGAGAAAGAGATGCTTAGTGGAGCATGTCCCTGCTGGACTGTTACTCTCTTACTGACTTCCCGCCAGTCGTGACCAATCACGAACCATCCCCTTCTGCTCCAAAGGGGATGGTTAAAATAGCTGGTCATTACCACCTATGAATCTGAAAGTGTGAATTATTAAAGTGGAGAGCTCGGGGGCTCAGATCTTTATTAATTTTGTTTAAAAGCGAGGAATGACACGTATGGGATTTATTTATTCATCATTTTTCTTTCTTTCTTTCTTTCTTTCTTTCTTTCTTTCTTTCTTTCTTTCTTTCTGCTTTGCAACAAAATAAATATAAATATATTACAACTTTTATTAACATTGACTTGATTATCTTAATTTCAGTAAATGTCAAGCTATAGTTATGTTTAATTTAGGGTTTTCATGCATGGCCTTCATTTAAATAGAAATAGAAATGCAGTTATGTCTTGCAGACACAGTTGGTGTGCTAGCAGATTATATCAATTGAAAAGACCTGCAGTCAGAAAGTTTTCTATAGATGGTTTTTGCAAGTGGTGACGTATTACATATAACCTGTGCACTCTGGAATGCAAGCAGCAAGTAAAAGTATAACTGAAAATAATCTCAGATAAGACTCAAACTTTGGCTCCTTGATCAAACGGTGTGCATGCTTGTGCATCTGACCACCTGCCCATCGCTTCACACAGACTTTGTAAAGTGAAAACAAAAAGTGTTATTTCCAGGAAGCTCGAATAGACTTCATAGATTTCAGACATTAACACCAAATGAGAAGCATGAAGTTTCACTTTAAGGACTAGAAGTTGGTATCAATCACACTTTAGCTGGTTTCACAGATTTCTATACTCATGCTAGAATTATCTGAATGTCGTAAATGGCATTTAGCTGCATGTGTTTGTGAAGAAGCTCACTCAATTGTACATATATGTGGGAAATTATATGAAGATCATGCTGGCTCACACAGACACATACACACACATCACAAATCCAGAGAGCAAGTCAAAAAGATATTCACTCACTGGAAACAAACTCTGGTAAAAAATGACTGCACTGGTGAAATACGTTACCAGCTAACTCAGCACTTTCCAGTGTGCTGCAAAGACTTACTCAGTCACTCCAAAAACATGCCCAACATGTCACCTTTGACCACAGCTGTAGTCACATTAGTCTGTGAAAAAGAACCGATGTAATCAAATTACACCCTTTACTTGTAGTAGCTATGGTTTATGAAAACTCAAATTATAGTGTTTCAATTAGTAAGTTACACTGGCCAAAAACGGGGAAGGCACTTGACACAAAACTCTGCCAACTCTGCCAAATCAAAACCTACTCTTACTGTTACTATTTTTCTTATTGATTATTGTTGCAGTTCCTAGTTGTACTCACAGGTAAATTTCCTTAACCACTCAGTTATTTTCAAGAAACCATATCGTATTTTTGCGAGGCATTTTTGGCTTCACCTACCTAAGTCATTTAAATAAATAATTATACATAACAAATTATATATTATTTATATAAAAAGAGCAACGCCCCC